AGTAGAAAGCAAAGAAAATATCCAGCTTTGTCGTCTGCGCTCTGCCCTGGTCATACTGTGCTGGCAACCAAGGAAAGAGAGCAAAGACTAGAATCACAAATTCTGGTCCCCCGTTTTCTGTTTACAACCTTGCTTGCTAGGGCTGCAAGAAGGCACACTGTTTTCCCTTCAGCTAGAACTAGGAGATTCACATCCATATGGGGATGCAGGAAGGCGACCAGTCAAAACTGGAGAAAAGCACTCCAGGCCACAGAGGCCACTTGTGCCTCACAGGGGTGCCAATTTGAATAAAAAATTGGGGGGCCCCAGTAAGCCCTGTGTAATCGATCACCAGACATGGTGCACGCACACCGCTTGAATGGCAATGCTCAACAACTTTGTGGGGGGCTGGCCCCCTCAAATATTTTACTGGGGAGGGGAGCCGAAGGGACCTCGGCCCCTAGGAGTTGGCTCCTATGTTCCAGGTGGATCCAGGAGTTATCCCAACGGGATACACCGTGCCCTGATATTTTACAGTTCCAGTTGCCACGTCTCTCTCTTTTTTTTAATAGTGGAAAAATAAGCCAGCATGTCAATGCAATATAAACAATTTTTATGCCAAGTTGACTTGGGAGGGCGCCTGCTAAAAGTTTGCAAAAGTATGAAATGGTGTGGAAAGTTGGGGAGGGTGAGAGATTCTCCCACCCTCCACATCCCCACTTGTCACTAGAGCTCAAGAAAACTGACAGAAAGAATCGTGGAGCCTTCTTCCAAGTCGGCCGGCGAGCAGAGCAGAGATTTGAACCCGAGTCCCACCAGCTCTAGTCCAACCACTTTGCCCCTTTTGTCACTTTTCTCAGGGTCAACAGATGCTCCCACTGCCCTCCCTCCACTTCACATACCCATGGCCAGCGCCGGACACACCTTCCAAGTCAGAGTCAGCAGCGGGAAACTCCTGGGAATGAGAGCTGCCACGACACCTATTGGAGGGAAGGTTGGGTTTTTATCGGACCTCTGGGCACACTTAGAAACCGCAGTGTTAAAAAAACAGGGAGAGGGCAGTGAGCTGAGGTGCTGCCATGTTCAGCGGGGAAAGGCAGGGCAAGGAGGAGGGAGGTGGGGGCCCCCCTCTGCCCTGGGAACACTATCCAGCCCCTCCAACTCACCAAGAGGCTTCCAGCCCTTCATCTCCACCTCCATCAGCTGGGCCCAGCCGGCGTGATGGTAAAAATGGCGGACGACCAAAGGCAGGTCTGCATCTCGGGCTTCCCGGATCAGCTTCCCGCTGTCTAGGCTCTCGAGGAGACCGAGGAGACGCTGGTGTTTCTGGATGGTCCTGGCCACGCTGGGGAGAGGGGGAAGAAGAGATGGCTGCCAGTCAAGTGAAGGTGGGCCTCAGAGAATACCCAAAGGACCTTTGTATATTTCACAGTAAAAAGGGGGAGCCGTGACACCTTAAGAGAGGAAGCAGGTCGCCTGTTTATGTGAGAGATGAGCAGCCAAAATGCTAAGTACAGTGGTACCTTGGGTTAAGAACTTAATTCATTCTGGAGGTCCGTTCTAAACCTGAAACTGCTCTTAACCTGAGATACCACTTTAGCTAATGGGGCCTCCTGCTGCCGCTGCACTGCTGGCATGAGATTTCTGTTCTCATCCTGAGGTAAAATTCTTAACCCGAAGTACTACTTCCAGGTTAGCGGAATTTGTAACCCGGAGTGTTTGTAACCCAAGGTGTTTGTAACCCGAGGTACCACTGTAAAGGGCTGATACTCACAAGGGCTGCAACATTCCAAGAAAGGACCTTGTGAGGTCCGATACCTTGTGCCTCAGGCAGTTGTGTAAATTGACACAGTTATACCTGCTAATAACAGTCTTTTTGTGTTGTTAAGAGCAGCTGAGCAGTAGGCCTTATCTATTCAGCTGCTGCCTGCCTGGGAATTAGTCAGTGTCTGTAAGAATGCTAGTCTTGCTGATAAATCTATATATAACACATTAGTAACGTAGGTAATACCTGCCTGGCTTGTACGTGTATATTGAATCTAACAAGTGCAAAGGGCACTGTGAGTAAAAGTTATTGCTATCCAAACTTTGAAAAAGTGCCTTGCACAGTTTTTATAGAAGGGAACAAAAGAAGCCTAGGAAAAGTTTAACGAGTCAGAAAAGGCTGGCCACTTACTTGTACAGGTGCCGGGCCCGGACGTGGCCAGGGAGCTGGCTCCAAGTTTTGAACGCTTTGGTGGCAGCATCAACCGCTGCGTCCACGTCTTCTGTGCTGCCCTGAAGGGTGGTGGCCAGTGGCTCCCCTGTGGGGTGTGGAAGAAAGGAGAAGAGGTCTCTCTCACCACTCCCAGGTTTTATAGCAACTCTGCAAAGGCGTCAGCATAATGTGGAAGGAAGGACGCAGAAGCCTTTTCAGGGATAGGGAATCTGCAGCCCCTCCAGATGTTGTTGGACTGAAATTCCCAGTATCCTTGACCAGGCTGGCTGTGGCTGATGTGAGCTGGAGCCCAACAACTTCTGGAGGGCCACTGCTCATCCCTGTTTTAAGCTAAGAAGAATCCAGCAGTTGAAGACAACGATGAAGACAAAGAAGAAGGAGAGAGAGAGAAGAAGAAGAAGGTTCTAGTCCTCACTATTTTGGTCAAAGCAGTAACAGCCATTCCAGTTTGGAAACAAGAAGGGCAATGGAGGTGCCACTAGGCCCCTGGAAAAAGACTACACCTGGGTAATATCAATACTCAGAAACAGCCTTTCAGCCTCAGCTTACCTTGGTTAATAGCTCTGCAATGTGTTCCCCGCCCATCCTTACCTTCCCTGCCCAGTCCACACCAATGCAGCTCTCAGAACCAAGATATGCAAATATACTTAGAAAACAGCTTGGATCTAACCATTACTACCTTCAGAAGATAGGGGTATAGGAGGCTCCTTTGCCAATTCCCCTTCCCCCCTGCAACACTTTCCACCATCCAAAAACCTGCTCCAGGGGGTTGTCAGGGTTGGGCGAGGGACCTTCTGGAACAGGGTAGGAGGTGGTGCTGGGGACTGAAGGGGGAGCTTCCCCGCCTCTTTCCACCAGGAAGATTCCCACTGCTAGATCAAAAGCCTTGTATGGATGGAGGACAACATCTAGATCCAAGCCACTGCTTGCACAGATAGCTTTTTCATCTCTGAACATCACAGGAACTGAGCTTTAAAATTCACACAAATAATAACAGACAGCCCCACCAGACACCCCTGCAGCGTTTTGGAATTCTATGTTAAAAAGAAAAAAGCAGTGTCAGATTCTGTCTCTTAAAAAACCAGAAATATTAATCTGTTTGACAATTTGACAGCATCTGAAACAGAAATGGACAGAAGGCAGTTTGGGATCCACTGGGAGACCCCTGGATGATCTGCAAGAGACCTTTTGGATATTGTGGTATTATTGCAATGCACTCTACATGAGGCTGCTCTTGAAGACGACTCAGGAAAAGCCATTTGTCCGAGATGCAGCGGACAGGTTACTGGCTGGAGTTCCATCAAGATCTCATGTAACCCCTGTTTTAAAACAGCTGCCTTGGCTGCCATTTTCTGAGTCAAATTCAAAATGCTCACATTAGTGTTTAAAGCCCTAAACAACTCAGGCCCCACACAGACTGCCTCTTTCCCTACAGAGACCCTCATGGTAGAAAAATAAGTGGAGAAGCTCTTTTGGTTGTCTGCAGAAGAAAAAGAGGAGGAGTTTGGATTTGATATCCCGCTTTATCACTACCCAAAGGAGTCTCAAAGCAGCTAACAATCTCCTTTCCCTTCCTCCCCCACAACAAACACTCTGTGAGGTGAGTGAGGCTGAGAGACTTCAAAGAAGTGTGACTGGCCCAAGGTCACCCAGCAGCTGCATGTGGAGGAGCGGAGAGGCGAACCCGGTTCCCCAGATTACGAGACTACCGCTCTTAACCACCACACTACATTGGCTCTCTAGCTTCCCCAAGAAGCTTGGGGAGGGGGCAGAAGAGGGCATGCTCTGTGGCAACCCCTAAGCTGTGGAGCTCATCTCATCTGCCTCTACCTGTGGTAGGATTCTTGGTGGTGCAGGTCTCCCTTCCATCCGGCTTCAGCCATTCTCCGCCTATGAAATGCCCGAAACTACGGCCGTGGGATTCCAGCCAGGTCTAAAAAGTAAGGGGGCGGGGAGAGAAAACAAAAAATTAAAGGGACACCCAGGTTTGTGAACTCCATCTTTCTTCTTTTCAAACAGAGCTTAAGAACTTGAATGTATCACCAAAAGTGTGCTGTGCTTTTAAAACCGCTGCCGTATTTAGTGTTGCAATTGGATGCTTCTACATGTCTTTAAGAAATGAGTTTAACTGTGCCTGTAAGGCTGCATAAGCCCTTCTTAAACAAGCAAACAGAAGATGTCTTCCCCACATTCTTCCTCACATACAAAGCAATTCCAAGATATGGCCACAGACCCTCCAAGTGTCCCTATTTTCCAGGGACGTCCCTTATTTAGAGAAGCCATCCCGGTTTCTTATTTGATCCCAGAATGTCCCACTTTTCTTCAGGAAGTCCCTATTTTCATTGAAGAAATGTTGGAGGGTCTGGAGCTATCTGATCCCCGATCCCCGGCAATCCTGTATAGGTAAGTTTTGTTAATGTTTAATTATGTTTTTATATGTCGGAAGCTGTCCAGAGTGGCTGGGGCAACCCAGTAACATGTGTGGGTATAAATGGTAAAATTATCATTGTGGAATGGGATGTCTCTATTTTCATTGGAGAAATGTTGGAGGGCATGTGCTGGTTACAATTCACAGGAAGTATTCATCCACCCCACCCCACAACCCAAAGTACTGCCATATGCAAATCTACATATATCCAAGCTATTAATTAATGGATCCAATCAGCTAAAGCTTAAACGATTAATCAACCAACAGCACAATCCTGTGCAAGCTAATTTGGAACTAAACCAGATCAAAGGAGCTCATTTTTAGGTCGAGTGAGCAAAGGACAACAGTGATGGAACTCTTTAATCAAGCAAAGAAGAGGTCGTAGCTCAGTGGTAGAGCATCTGCTTTGCATGCAGAAGGCCCCGGGTTCGATCCCAGGCACCTCCGGTCAGAAAAGAGCCCTGCCTGAAACCACTGCTAGTCAGAGTAGACTATGCTGAGCTAGATCAGCCAAGGGTATGAATTAGTGTAAGGTGACCAACAATGATGCTAGAATCTGGCAGGAGAGGGACACCCAACCACGTGCTTTGGTTCAACCCCTGGTTGAGAGCCAGTGATGGGGAAAGACCACTGACCCCCCAGGGTGCTGCCAGACAGAGCAGACAATACTGGGCCAGGTGTAGGGTTGGGAGGATGAATTTGTTCAGTCTACACTTCAAGCCTAATTTGCTAAACCTCAACTTAGGCTAGGTACACAACATACATTTAAAGTGTGCGAACACACACACACACACACAGCAAGAATCCTGGGAGCTGTAGTGTATCCCTCAATGTGCTAAAATTCCCAGCATCCTTAAACTACAGGATTATTGGGTGTGTACACTTTAAATGTGCTGTGTGTATACAGCCATTTATTTGGATGGAAACACAGCTATCAATGGGATTAAATCTGTGATGTGGTTTTGGTTCAGAAAATGTGCAAAAAAAGAAAGAAAAGAGGCATATTTTCTGGAAAGGAATACACAGAGAAATGTGTATTTTTTTTTGAAATGCATACAAAACGCAGGTTTTTAAAATATGGATTTTGGGTGCGCTTCTTTTTATAAAAAACGATCCACAAAAACCGGGAAGACGACTGAGCACACGGAAAACTGAACACAGAAGACAGATGGGCTGGTGGATAAACAGCCTGGTATTGAGGCAACTTGCAAGGGCCTTGAGACTTGCGCCATCACTGGGTCGGCCAAAGGCTCCCAGCTGATTGCGCCCCAGACCAGCCTCTCGATTTGATGAGGCAGGAGGGAGTTGCAATGTGCGCTCCTTAGAGACCACAGGAGGAGACATAAGTCCAGGGGTGTTACCCTGAACGCTCAACTTTTTGTTTACCTATCCAAGGGTCTAGAGTCTGTTCCAGCTATAGGTGGGTGAATGCATGCATGCTCTCTCTCTCACTTGCCCTGCCTATTGTGGGCTGTTGTCTGGTCATTATGTGCTTGCTGTATTTTGACAGATCCACCTGCCTCTGCACGCCAGAGACAGAGACTCAACCACATTGACAAGGCCACTTCAAAAAGAACACGTCTAGAGAAAGAAATAATCTACTGCCACAATGATTACATGGGTCTCTGCTTTCTTTTTTGTTCGCAGTCTCTACTTATATTTTGTTTAAACGATCAAGGGTTTCAAAGCTACAGCCATTCATGGAACTGCCAATCACAATAGAGGCTGGCCCATTAAGGCCAGTGGGGCACTGCCCCACCAACCTCACTCTGCCCTCTGCCAATCCCCACCTGCCTGCCTTCTTACTGACAACAACCAGTGCAGAGGATGGCCTCCTCCTCCTCCTTAGTCTCAGTGCTGGCCCTTGTAGAACTCAGCAGGAAGAGGAGGGCAAAACTAGAATCAGCTGGCCTGCCATTGTCTCTGGCGCCACCTACTGACGGACTCCCTGCCTTCCGCCCTACCGACACAATGGGCACCAACCACTGCCGACTTATCATAACCCTGAGATCACTGGTTAAGAGGCTTTTAGAATGCTTTCAGATTTTCCCCAAAAGTTGTTTTCAGGTTTCATTTTAAATGGTTTTATTGCTGCTGTGCCTGCTGCTTGGGGCTCCTTTGGCAGGAAGGGCAGGATATGCCTCAAATAAATAATAGCAATAAGATCGGAGAGGCCCTAAGAAAGGGCACTTTGGCGATCCTAAGGAACTGGGAAAAATTGACTTAGGGTGGGGACTGGGGATCTGGACTCCTGGGTTCTCCGAAAAAGGAGCAGAGGTCCGACAGGCTGCTACAGCACAGGCAACCTTTAAGAGGAGGGGCTCTTGAACGCTGGTGTCTTTCCCAGGTCCTCCTTCAGGGTCCTTGCAGAGCTCCCTGCTCCAGCTCTCCTCCTTGACTTGCCGAGGCCCATCTGCCTCCTTGCCGTCTCCAGCCGCCTCTCGCTCCTTCTGGCTCTTGGCCCACATCTGCCGGATCCAGTCCATCTCAGCCGTCCACAGCCTCCGGTCCTTCTCCCGCTGGGCTTTCTCCTCCTCCCACAAGCCCTGGAACAGCTTCTCCCTCTCCCGGAAGTGTGCCCGGATGTCCCTCACGAGATCGTCGAACTTGTCGTCCCGGGGCCTCTTCCTCCTGTTGCGGAGCTGAGCCAGCTTCTCCCGGGTGCTCAGCAGGGTCCGTGGCCTGGAGAAAACTGAAGGGGGAAAGGGAAGGAGTTATTTAATTTTTGTAACATGCTTTATGTGGGGCTGCCCTGGTACCTGCTCTAGAAGCTGCAGTTAGTGCAAGGACTGCTCACAGCAGCAAGCTACCAGAAACATGTTCCTTATCTGCGGAGGATCGCTGTTGCCAATTTGCCAATGGGCCAGGTCTGAGGTTGTGGTGCTGAAAGCCCTAAGGAGCTTGGGCCAAACTCAAGCAAGCTATCTCGAAGCTGGATAGCTCAGCTGGTTAGAGCACATTGCTCACAATGCCAAGGTTGTAGGTTCGATTCCCTGCAAGGGTCAGTTGCATATTGCTGCATTCCAGGAGATTGGACTAAACGATCCTCAGATTCCCTTCCAACTCTATGATTCTATATGCGATATCACATACCCTACCCAGCCCAATGCCACCATTGGAGGAAATAAAGCATCACCGATTCTATATGAAATAGCACCACCATCAGGTCAGCTGATAAAACTACACATAAACCAGGATAAAATCCAACCCATCGCTAAGAGGCAAACTAAGGCCTGGGGGCCAGATCCGGCCCAATCGCCTTCCAAATCTGGCGTGCAGACAGTCCGGGAATCAGCGTCTTTTTACATGAGTAGAATGTGTCTGTTTATTTAAAATGGATCTCTGGGTTATTTGTGGGGCATAGGAATTTGGGTCCCCCCTTCCAAAATATAGTCTGGCCCCCCAACAAGGTCTGAGGGACAGTGGACCGTCCCCTGGCTGAAAAAGTTTGCTGACCCCTGGCTAAGAGCCTCAGTGCAGTACAAGCAACTGCCGATCACTTCGACTTGCCCATTTACCTCTGGCAATTAAAAAATAATAATTGTGTAAAGTTGAGGAGGGTTGGTTCTTTTTCTCTTCCTCTATTCTCCAGGCCAACAGCTTCCCCACATGGGTTACATGGATTAAGTAACCTGCAAGGCTGCTTTTATGAAACGTAGCTGTCAATTGTAGATTGGCTTCCTTACACATTCCCCCAGAAAATATTTAAGAATTGGAAAACCCAAGTGGCATTATATTGATTTTTTTAAAAAGAGCAAGATGCAAGATAGAAAAGAGTGGGGCAAGAATGACCTCATAAAGACGCAGTTGGTTCATTCATCCTAAGAGGCCCCTGTGCCTCTTTGCTTCTTAGACAAGCTTTGTACATAAGCCCACCTAGGTTATTACCCTGCCTAAAACAAATGTACTAGCCTTGAGGGGAGGGAGGGGAGATACAGAGAACCCCACCCTCCTCCTCCGGAAGCAGACTGCATTTCTGTGAAGGGGCTTCCCTCATCTGGAAGCTTGTCTTGTTCCTGCACTGGACACAGAGAATGGATGAGGTTCCATCACTTCTTCACCAACCCACTCACTTGCCTGCCTTCCCGTCCTTGTTGCCCAAGGCGAATGGGTAACGCCTTAAAATACAAGGCTCTATTTTGCATTCCAATGATATTCCACTTACTCTGATCATCCAGACATAATACAGTAGCAAAAACAGACCATGGAGTAACAAACTGATACCACGAACAGGATGCAAAATTGTGGTGTTTTTTTTTAAAAAGAGTGATTTCAGGATATTGGCTGGGATATTAATAGGTTGGTATTTTTTACATTTCCTGGTTTTTAGCCTGGATCAGCTCCAACACACATAGATATATCAGGAAAGCTTTCAGGATTTTAAGTTCAGCATCCCTTTGGCCATCAGAGCCCAATAGCCAGCACATGTCTAGGTTCCTATTATGAGAAAAAAGACTAGGCAGAGACCAGTTTAAAGGGAAAGGTTATGGGCCAAGATTCCTGGGGGCACAGATTCCTCTTTATACCGAGTCTGACCCACTGGATGCGTCTAGCTCAATACTGTCCACACTGACTGACAGTAGCGCTCCAGGTTATCAGGCAGAAATCCTCCCAGCATTACCTGCAGATGCCTGCGACCAAACCTGGGACCTTCTGCTATGCAGAGCGGATGAATGACCACTTAAGCAACTCAGTGTCCACGGAAAGGAGGGAGTTTGAAAGCCAGACAGGAATCCTGGGCATTCTGGAAGGTGGTGATGCCTAGCAGTTGTCAGCAGGAAGGTGAATGAAGGACTGCTTAGGAGCCTTAGGAAAGGGATGTAGTGCTTTTGGAAAGAGGGTGGGAAAGAAGCTGCCAAGATTTCCTGGGTTCTCCAGTAGGAAGTGGGTTTAGCAGGGATGCCACGTTGGGAAGGTGGGTGCAGGAAAAGGGAGCGTGGCCAGGTCATCAGGGTTTCCCGGGCCAGGTAGAAAGAAGCCATTTATTGGGGAAACCTTTGGAGTGGAAATGTGGGAAAGCTATGAGAGACAGGATTCCTGGCCTCAGTGTCATTAGGAACAGAGTGCAAGGCAATTCTGACAACCTGGGCATCAGGGCTGCAGCACCAGCGGAGGGCCAGATAGTAAAGAGCTGAGGACCAGGACTCCTGGGCTCTCGGGAGAGGAGCCTCGGGATATATATATAAATAAAATCATGTGTCACATATATTCCTCCCATCCAAAAACTCCACCTCTCGCTCCACTCACCTCTCCGGTTCAGCCCTGGTCTCCAAGGAGCCTCCAAGTGCGCCCGGCTCTCCCGGCGAAGGAGAGGCTGGTCCGCCCCGCCGGGAGTCTCCACGTGGGCGTCCTCCTGGCCGTAGAGATAGGCTCCCCCTCCGCCCCGGAGGCCGCTCTCTTCTCTCCCGGGACTTTTCTCCTCCTTGACGATCCCGCCGGCCACGTGGTGGTGGAGGGCCGGGTCCTCGGAGTGGAGCAAGCCCCCGACCCCTGCCTGGGAGGAGGAGGACGACGAGACGGCGGCGGCCGCTACCGCGGAGGAGGAAGGCTCGCCCTGCGGATCCCCGTCGCTGCCGTCGGTCACGGACACCTGGGTCCACGCGTACTCGTTCTCGTGGAGCTCGGGGTCGAGCTCGGGGTCGCTCTCCTCCTTGATCACCACCTGGCACCAGGGCGCCGCGCCTCCGCCCCCTCCGGTGCCGCCGCCGCCGCTGCCCAGGATGGCGTCGAGTTCGTGGAAGAAGCGGCACCTCTGGCGGGCGATGCCGTCCTGCAGCTTGGCTTGCTTGTAACTCTTCTTCAGGTCTTTGCCTTTGGTCCGGCACTGGTCCTCGTCGCGGAAATAGCCTTTCTCCGCCATCCGCTCCGAGATCCACTGGTAGACGTCGGCATTCCGGTGGCAGCGGTTCAGCTGCGTCTGGATCCCTTCCTCCCCCCACAGGGCGAGGAAATCCAGCGTCTCCCGGTGGCTCCAAGTGGCTGCCCGGGTGCGGGGCACTTTGGGGCGATCCGCGCTCTTGGGGCCCAGGAAGGAAGAAGGGGAAGGCGAGGACATGCCCGGGATGGGAAAGGACCGGCGATTATAATAATAAAATAATAATAAAATAATAATAGCAATCATATAATAAAATGAAATGGAATAGGGGGTCCCCCCAGCTCGATTTAATGAGGAGCCTAACCCCGGTGCACGCTGGGATACAGCCCCCTCCCTAACCCAGAAGACCGAGCGAGGCGGAGTAAGAGGGGCGGGTACCTCCGCGGTAGCACGTAACCCGAGGTGGGACTTACCACGGGCGCGCTGGCCAATGGGCGTGCAGTATGCATATGACCCTGATTCAAATCGGGCCGCTCGGCCACGCCTGTTGGAAGAGAACCTCTCTTTGCCCCCGCGAAGCAGAGAGCGAGGCGCTGAACCTCCCGGGGAACCCAGGAGTCCGAGCGCAGCTTCGTCTACCTCGCCTCCTTTGGGCGCTCTCCTCATTCAACGCAGCAGATCCCTGCACGGCACGGACTGCCCCCCCCCCCATTGCTAGTCTAGCTGCAGCCCAGCAAGATAGCAAGAAAAGCATAGTTTGGGGCTTGCATATCCGCAGCATAATCCCCCCCCAGTTAGTTCCTGTGTTCTCTCAAGGGGCGGAGAGGATGTCCTACACGGGGTTGGGATGCAGAGGTGCACTGACATTCAGACGAGACGAGAGTGAGAGAGAAAAAGAGCGAAGCGGGAGCTTTGCCAGGATTCGAGAACGGGCGAGACTTTGCTTCCCATTCTAAGGGTGTTTTGTGCGCTCCAGCAAGGATCGGCCGGACTCCTGGGTTCTACAAGGGATCCTAGCTCTCTTAGTTAGAGCTGATGTTGCAGCACGCGCAAGTTCTTCCGCGTCCCTTTTCCTAAATGCAGACTTCAATAACAGTAATAGTTGAAACGTGCCGCCGTGAAGAGGGAGACCTTTAGAGCTCGGATGGTCAACGACACCCACGTGAGAGGCGGCGAGTCCAGCCAGCAGAGACCGCTGGCTCAGCAGAGGAGCGAAGGTCAGGGTTGGAGAGCGGCGGGGAAGAGAGGGGCAAAGGGCGGCGGGTTCTGGGGAAGGAAGGCAGACCCTCCCCTAGACCCTCCTGTTTGCAATCTACTCCTGCTCCCACCCTGCTTACTAAATAGCCTTTGCTTTTGAAGAAAAGAAATCCACACTTTTCTCCTCTTCCAACTTCTCCCTGAATTCCTAACCCCCAATGGATCCCTCTCCCGCGCTCTCCTCTTCGGGGACCCAGGCGTCCGGGGGGCGCCTCCCAGCCTGCTTCCCTTACCTGGGCTGCCCCAGTGCCCTCTGGGACTGGCCCATACTCCATGGAGCTGTAGATATCGGGCACTGAAGGGGCCCCGCGCCTGCTGCCGCCTCCCGCCGCTGCTGCTGAGCCAGCCATGGGCACTAAATGGGCTACTTCCCCCTTGACAGTTGGACTAAGCACCAGCCAGGCTAAACATTCAGCCACCCGCCCCCTTTAGGGCGGCGCTTCCGGACTCCTGGCTTCCATAGAGACTGGGAGGTGGAGAGAAGGGACGCATTGGCACCATAGAGATGGAGAGGGAAGAGGTATATTGCTATCACAGAGCTAGGGGGCGGGGGGGAAGAGAAAAAGTCTTTGGAACCTTTTAAGAATTCTTATAAACTTTCATGACTACAGACGAGGCTTCCTGGTTACTTTTTATTTGTTTACCACAAAATGAAATGCACAACAAGGAAAACCCTCCAACATTGAGGTTGCATCTTCTTGGTTACTTTTGAAAGCTGTTTTGTTTGCTAGTTGGGATTATAAATATCAGCTAACCTTCGGAATCAACAGCGAAATCCAGGATTTTGGCGTGAATGGGATTGATTGGCCAGAGGCTATTGCCTTACCCTTCCCCACCCCCTGCCCCCCACCCCAAGAGAAGAAAAACCAGAGCTCAGCCTTACAGAGCAATCCAAGGTTCCCTGGTAAACGTGTATAGGATTTAACCTTTATTATCTCAACACTGCAGGTTACAGGGGAGGAGCTGAGAGATAGAGAGGAGCCTGCAATGTATTCTAAGATTCTTACATACGGTACTTAGGAACATATACCAAAGCATGGCTATTGGTGTAGTTGAAGAATCTAGTTTGTTATATAAATGGTGTTTTATATTAAAATGCTTGCATTGCCCCAACAGCATTTAAGGAAATAACCCCCCCCCCAGTATTAGCATTAAAACAAAATAAATTAAACGCAACAACAAATTGCTGCTCTTCCATGACACCAAAAGCTCACTCTTGTCTAATAGCGCGCCCAGCCCCGCATTAATCCAAAGGAAAACCCCGAATCTAACCGGATGTTTGAGATGCTAGTCTAACATTTGTCTGACCTCGCGTCCTTAACTCTATGGAGTTCCTGCATCCTCAATACAGAGCGCAGAGATAGGAAGCCTATGAGAAAGAGGCAAAGAGAACTCGACTTCCGGCCCCGCTTCTCCGCAAATCGAACCTTCTGGCGCCCGCGCGTGTCGTCGCTTCCTTCGCGGCGGAGCCGACGACAGACAGATATATAAACTAGCAACGATACCAAGGTAAACATGACCCTGGAAGCTATGATTTTTTAAAATCGTTATTTCTAGATCATGTGCATGGGACGCGGGAAGGGGAGTGGCATTAAAGTTCAGGGCGTATAGAGAGGCAAGTATTTCTCTCCCCCCCCCCGCACTTCCAGTCCGTTGCTGTAACCATTAGGCACTATTTCCTCCCGTCCTTTTCTCGGTAGTCAGTACAGCTAAGGTCGGGAGTCGCTGCCATAGCAACAACGGAAGTTTGATCCGTTGATTGGAAAGGAAGTTCGATTTGGCAGAGGCAGGTGCGGGATCTTGATTCCTGGAAGGGGAGATCTTAAAAGGTTCCCCCCTTTTTTATTTTTGGAGACAGCAAAGCGTGAAGCTGAGATATCACCAGCTTGTATTCAAACCCAGCTTCAGCCAAGTAGCCTTGGTAGCCCTACTTCACAGGGTTGTTTTCTTGAGGAGGAAGTGGAGAGTTGAGAAAACGTCATCTCCTTGCGCTGGTCTCCTTGGAGGGAGGGTGTAGCAGCAAGTCTGGGGAGGGGGGAGCAGTGAGTTGGGACCATTGAGGCTTGATTTTGGTTTAGGGTGTGTTAAAGTTAAATCTTAAAAGTTAAGTCTTTCCACGGAGGATATTTTATTGAATTATATGCCTGCAGTATGGAAATTATCAACAGGACAATGGAAATGGTTTTTCCGTGCCCTAATGGCGGCCAAGAGATTGATATTGAGGTGTTGTTTTTTTTGGGGGGGGAATAAAATATATGATACCTTTCAATCAATGGGCTGATGATATGATATCACTGGCAGTTTATGAACGGAACTGCTTACAGCCGCAGACTCTGTATGGATAACCATGATAACATTTGGAATGAGTTTATACAAAATGTAGTAAGCTATTAGCATTTCCATAAGCACTAGGACAATAACAATAACACTATACCAATTTATACAAGAATGTATATCATATATTGCTTTTGGGGGTATATTTTCGTTTTTATATGTATCTTTGCTGCTGTTTTTCTCCTCACATTTCCTCCTTTTTTCCTGTATCACTTTATTTCTTTTAACTGAAATCACCTTTATAAAATATAAATATTGACCTCTGCAGGGTCCAGCTAGCAACACCATGGCATCTGTAGCCGACACATCCCTGTTATCAGCCGAGTTGCAGGAGGAGGAGAAACAGGAGGAGTTCCAACGTCTTCTACTCCAGGTCTGCATGAAGGCCTGTGGTGGGGGTGGGGAGGAAAAATTGGGGAGCGGGGACCATGTGTAGCTGATGGACTCTCTTCTAGGCCCCATCTGCACTATGCATTTAAAGCTCTTTCATAACACATTAAACAGCCATGGCGCCCCCCTCCCCCAACTCCTGGGAAGTACAGTGGTGCCCCGCAAGACGAATGCCTCGCAAGATGGAAAACCCGCTAGACGAAAGGGTTTTCCGTTTCTGAGTTGCTTCGCAAGACGATTTTCCCTATGGGCTTGCTTCGCAAGACGAAAACATCTTGCGTGTCTTGCGATTTCCCCCCCCGCTTTCCCCCCTTTTTCTAAGCCGGTAAGCCGCTAATAGCCTTTTAGCAGCTTAGCCGCTAAGCCGCTAATAGCGCTAATCCGGTAATAGGGTTGCTTCGCAAGACGAAAAAACCGCTAGACGAAGAGAATCGCGGAACGGATTCTTTTCATCTTGCGAGGCACCACTGTATAGTCTGTTAAGGTTGCTGAGAGTTATTAGGAGACCTCTATTCACCCCACAGAGCTACAATTCTCAGATGATTTAATAACCAGCTCTTATTCCCAGGGAACTCAGAATTGTAGCTTTGTGAGGGGAAGGGGGACTGTCGCCTAACAACTCTTAGCATCCCTTAACAAACTACAGTTCCCAGGATTGTTTTGGGGAAGCCGTGACTGTTTAAAGTGGTATAATACGGCTTCAAATTTATAATGGAGTTCAGTGAAACTGACCTGAGAAACACAATGTGAAAAGACCTTTTGGGTTGAATGTTGATGAATGTGACATGAAGGGTTGGGATCAGGGAAGGACATGGGGCTCTTGGAATGTCTGATTCCAGACGTAAGAGGCTGCAGCCTTTCATCTCGGAAAGAAATGGGATCTTAATAATTAATAATAATAATTAATAATTATTTATACCCCACCCATCTGGCTGAGTTTCCCCAGCCACTCTGGGTGGCTCCCAAGAGAATATTAAAAGCACAATAAAACATCAAACATTAAAAATTTCTCTAAAGTCTGAGTTGTGTAGCTGTATCATAAATTTATCTCTGCCTCTTAGGCAACCCAGAAAATCGAGAGCTTCGTGCCCTCTCTGGCAGAATCCAAGCCTATCCGGCCACTCCCAGGTAAAGAACAAAAGGGATTGTGAAGGTTTCTGAATGAACTTTTTTCTAAACTGGGTATATGCTTGGGCAGTCAAATGGCAAATGCCTTTCATTGCAAACAAGGGCAAAGTGATGCAAGCTGGGGCACAAAATAATAATAATAATCTAAATTTCACATATAAGCTCATGGGGTGGCTAAGCAGGATGAGATGTTTGGGTCATAGTGGGTAGCTCGATGGAGAAGCTGATCCATTGTGCAACATCTGTGAAAAAGGCAAATGCCACACTGGGGATCATTAGGAAAGGAGTTGAAAATAAAACTGTCACTATCATAATGCTGTTATACAAATCTGTGGCGTGACCACACTTGGACTACTATGTACATATGTGCTACTTATCCAGCCATCTCATCTCAAAAAGGATATTGCAGAGCTGGGAAAAGTTCAGAAAAGGCCATCAAAATTATCAAAGGGGTAGACCAACTCCCCTTTAAGGAAAGGGTGCAACATTTGGGGCTTTCTAGTTTAGAGAGAAAGGGTGAGAAAGCAGGGAGATGGTAGAGGTGTATAAAATTATATAAAGAACAGAAAGAGAAGCTTTTCTCCCTGTCTCATATAACCAGAAAAGCAGAGATCTTGGGATTACAGGGGAGTGGGGTGGATGTTAGAGGTGCAATGGGGAGACAAGGTGAAAGTGGTCCATGGCCGGCAAAAGCAGATTCCCTAGTTGTTTAGAGAAACCTGCAAATCTATGACTTGCTTCTCTCATCCTTCCCAGGATTCTGCCTTAAAACCCGCACAAGTTCCTGTGAGAAGGTCTTCGTGAACGTCTGCCGGTCTCCCCACATCCCCCCACCTCCTGACCTGACCAACGAAGAGCTTGCCTGCCTCTTTGAGTCGGAGAACGCCTCCGCCTTCAGGATCCCCATGAGCTTGGGAGAGCCCCACGTGGAAGTGGACAAGAGTGAGCATCCACCTCATTGATGCTGAGAGGACGGGCTAGCCGTGAAATGAGTAGCTAAATCTTAAGGAAAACCAAGGCTGCAGCACCTGCTTCTACAGAGCCAGCCAGGTCTTGGTGGACCTTTTGGTCCCTCTGCCTAAGAGAGCTGTCTGAGTAGCACAAGGAGTAAGGAACTTGGTCACCTAAATCCCTGCCTCAATCCCTCTCATCATTTGAAGGACACTCCTACTACTACAGTGGACGCTCAGGTTGCAGACGTGATCCATGCAGGAGGCACGTTTGCAACCTGCAGCACCGCGTCTGCGCACGCGCGGGTCACAATCTGGCACTTGTGCGCATGCGCAAAGCGCGATTTAGCGCTTTGTGCATGTGTGAGTGCTGAAACCTGGAAGTAACCCGGGTACTTCTGGGTTCGGCGTGGTGCGAAAACGTGCAACCTGAAGTATCTGTAACCCGAGGTATGACTACTACTATTACTTATTTATTTATAATTTATATACTTCCCTATACTCACAGATCTCAGGACACTTTGTAGGATAAAAACACAGACTACATAATCAAAATAAAAACAAACACCTGAGTAAACTCCTTCCCCCCCAAACCCCCTTCCCACATTTTAAAAGGGAATCGGATGACAATCGACCAACGGCCTGGTTAAAGAGGAACCTTTTTGCGTAGGAATCACTTGGCATCCACAACACACTTGCTCACTTTTTATTTTTACACGGATGATCCATTTTTTGCGTAGCTCACAGAAATAGAAACCTGCAGACGAATGCCACTTTGTGGAGGGGGAAAGTTCAAATGTTTTTAAGAAAGCATTGATTTGTACCCACCCTGGCTGAAGAGAGAGAAACACACCTGATCTCTTTGTTTTTCCTCGTGGGGATGTCTCTGCACAAGAGCATCTCCCAAGTGAGGTGGTGCAGTGTGGACTCAGCCCCTGAAGGGCAACTGTGAAACCAAGGCTCCTTCTGCCGTGGAGGTTTTCGGAATAGCCCCCTCTTCTGTAGAAGTGGCCTGACCCTTCTTTCTTCTTTCCCAGGTGGCAATGCTTGCACCGTCTATGACATCTCCATCAGCACCACCTTTTACAACAAGATGGAGGTGAGTTGCCTTTTTGAAAGGGAGCCTTTGCGTCCCAAACGGCTTCTCCTGCTCAGGGGCAGAATTCCTGCTGTGTCCATGGCAGGCAGGAACCTCTCTTTCCCAAAACCACCTGGGTGTGGTTTGCTGTGCCAGAGTAGGGGGATGATGTTGGGAGACAGGGGCATAAGGTTACCAGATGTCCCCATTTCCTGGGGACAGTCCCTGGCTTTACAAATCAGTCCCCATACAAAATCCATTGAAGTTCCCCGGATTCATTGGGGAAAAATCTGGTAAAATAATAATAATAATAATAATAATAATAATAATAATAATAATAATAATAATAATAATTTATTTATACCCCGCCCATCTGGCTGGGCCTCCCCAGCCACTCTGGGCAGATTCCAACAAAATATTAAAATACAGTAATGCATCAAACATTAAAAGCTTCCCTAAGTTTACACCTGCAAGGTAGGCAGGTGAGCGTCTTTAGTGTATATTTGGCTGCTTATGCCATGAATGGATGCATCCCTTCCTCCGCACCATCTCCCCAAATCGGTATGTGTCTGAATATCAGTTTCCAGGAATCACAAGTGATGAGCTCTGTTATACTTGGCCCTTGCTTGAGGGCTTCCCATAGCTGTCATGAGCTGGACTAGGTGGGCCTGTGGCCCAATTCAGCTGGACTTCTTATTTTCATAATCACAAGGCCTTGGGACTTCCTACATATGCATGCAGTTGGGTGGCAGTTACTTCATTGTGGAGTAATCCATGTGCTGAGAGAAGGGAACCTAACCTCCTCCCCACTCCCATCTCTCTCTTTTCCCTCGCTGCCTCAAGAACGACGACTTCCTCAAAGAGTTCTTCATCACAATCGCCATGGAAGGATTGTCGGAGAAATACAAGATGGATATCAACAACCAAGGTACGGGTGTTGCTTCCGGGAGGCAACAGGCTCTTGGGGCCAATCCTGAGGTAACATTTCCCCTCCTCGTGGGGGGGGGCATACCCTTGAAAGAAAAGCGACCTTGGTTCGGGAGACTTCTAACATCCGTTCTGGGAGCTTCCATCCCTTTGGGGCTGGGCCAGAGCCTTTTGCTCCTGCAGCCAAGCTAACAAGGCTGCTTGCGCCCCTTTCCAGAATGGCGGATTCTGAAGAACAGGAAGTTTATGGGCTCCATAGCTGAGCAGACCATCCGCACCAAATCCAAGCCTTTCATCCAAGAGATGGATAGCAGGTACGTTGGCGAAATTCCACAACTTAGGGGAATGCCGCGCAGAAGGTCCTCTACCGGGAGTCCTCCCACCCGGACCTCTGAGAGTGGTGGGACTACCAAGAGGGGTCCTCCTCTGCTCATCTTGACACCCAAGAGGGTGCTGCTAAATTGGGATGATACATGTCATTCATCTGGTGAAGTGGGCTCTAGTGCCCTGCAAGATTAGTTAAATTTTCAGGGGCCTTGAGACACTTCATTTTTCTGCAATGGACTAGTATTGGGGTAAGCTTATCTCCTCCTCCTCTTAGCATGAGAATCACCGGCTGCCATTGGACCATCTGGATAAATTAGGAGAGTCTTCCCCAATCTGGTGCCCTCTAGGTGCTGTTAGATTACAGTTCCCATCACCCTTAACTATCGGCCATGTTGGCTGGGGCTGATGGGAGCTGGAGTCCAAGTTGAGGGTAGTGGAGTTAGGAGAGATCTTTCCAGTGAGCGGCTGCTATATGGAAATGTTAGCATGGGAGGGGCTTGTAACACATGAGGGGCGGCAGAGGGAGAATTAAGTCATTTCAATTGTTAGCATTCTACGGCATCTTGTCAGCTGAAGCAGAAACCAATCTCTGGGGCCTGTTAAAAGTGTTTGGGACTCTGGACAGAGCAGAGAGAGCTGTTGGCCCAGACTTGAATGGGGACTTGGTACAATTGTAGTAGTCAGATCAATACTTCCTTCTTCATTTTTACAAGGCGCTTGTCTCTTTCTGCAGCCAAGTCAAGGAGGAAGGCAGGAACCTTTTGCAGCCATCTGCGTCACAGAGGTACGGTGTGGTTGGGATGGGAGGGACTGTACAATGAGGATGGGGGTCAGGGTAATGGAGGAATGGAATGACCCGTGATCTCAAATATGGTCTGCTATGATAGGTTGGACTGGTGCAATGCATTGCTCATGGGGCAGTCCTCTGAAGACTGGCCAGAAACTGCCACTAGTACAAGCCCAAGAAACCCCTCTGGACTGCTCGGTTGTACCAGGCATTTAAGAGCAACCAGGAGTGATGTCTTGAGTACGCTACCTGGGTGTCAAATTGGGTCTGCAAACACACACACAGAGGCATTCTGAATAGCTGCCCTTAAGTGTTAGAGTTTTCTGCCCTTGGAGACTTGGCAAAGCCCTAGCCTTGTATCTCCCAGAAGTACAATAAAGCAAGTTTATTTAAACTGGCCGATAGTGGCCAGAATAGGACTCTGTCGTCAGCCGCCCATAGTGCAGGTTGTATGTCTAATGAATTAAATAAAGTTCAGTTAGATCGGGCAGGATATTGTGTGTCAGAAGCCCACAGTTGCATTTCTGACTTGGCTCTTTAATCTATTAACATGTTGCCTGTCCCTGTTTTTATGAGTTGGCAATATCTGATTCCAACTGAGTGTTTTTATCACGACACTCCCCCCCCCTTCTCCCTTGCTGATTCTGTTGTGCTTCCTTCCGTAGCTCGGCCACAGTTCCTGAATTCACCATAGTTGCTGAGCCATCTATCAGCCACCCTGACCATCTGGTCGCGAAAATCAGCCTCCCTAAAATGGTAATTTGGCATGCGGTTTGTAGGGTGGTGTCTTGGGTGCTCTGGTCCCCAAGCTGGGGAAATAGCAATAAAATTGTATTTTTTTCAGTGTTTCTTTGTTCTCCCACCCTAATTAGACCTCAGTAAGCTCTCTCGAGCTGGACCTGGGAGAGGACCGCATTGTGTTACAGGGACACCCCCAACTCTACCATTTGGACATCTTCCTCCCCTACATCATTGTTCCCGAGGAGAGTAGGGCCCAGTTCCACAGAGGAACAAAGGTGAGTAACTAGGATGAGAGAGAGAGTGAGACTTGCAGAAATCTTCTCCCTCCTTCCGAACCACACCTGAGGTCTTTAGCTCTTTAGAAGCTTCCCCTTCCTTTCTAAATGTGTGCCTTTGAAGGAAAGGTCTGAGTTGTTAGTGCCTTTGACAATGTGATGAGGTGCTACAGGCCGGTATCAGATGACCGGCATCACTTTTGTCAGCAGTAGACTGATAACTTAAGAAAGTGGTCGCTCTAGTTCAAAGGAAGCCTTGTTTTGGCTGCATCCCAGGCCGCTTAGCCCGTTCTCTCTTAGCACATGATCCAGTAGCCTCTGAGGCTGCTTTCCAAGGACACTGGTGGTGTTAGAAGAGCACAAGAGCCCAGGCCAAGTGCATTGCAGCCTTTGCTATGGAAAAATCCCAAAAGTGGAGCTCTTTGTTCTTTTGACCATCGTGAGAACCACTTTGAATAAAGGAGGAACAACTCTTTGGAAAGGTAGAAGTGATACAGGTGTAGGTGTTTGTGATGGACACTAGAACACCATAGTCCTTGCCAGGCAATAATAATAATAATAATAATAATAATAATAATAATAATAATACACACACATATGTTGGCTATTTGCAGTATGGTAGCGCTGCAGAGAGCTTGCTGGGGAGACCATGCATTAAAAAGGGACTCAAAAATAACTTAAACAAGGTTTTAATTAGAAAAACAAAAACTCCATTTACACTAAATACATCAACAACAAACCAGACCCAAGCACCAACCCATCCCCCAGGGTAATGGGAGAGCTAGGTGCTGCTCCTTATATACTACACCCAAATGCTGACACAGCTTAATCAATACAACTCAGCAGCACCTGCTAGGTTTCACAGCTGTAAAGCTGGGTCTCGTTATTTTGCTCTGGCCCTTGCTCTGGCCCCTTAAAGACATACACATTGGGTGGAACAATGATGAACCTTTACATTTAAAGAAGCCGTTCAACAACATACACACACACACGGGGAATGTGTGCCTGGAGATTTACTAAGGTAGGCAAATTTGCATGGCCCAAACGTTTCCTTTAGGGCTTCCCCAGTTGAAGGGGGCGTATGACGGCATACAGGGTTGCAGCGCTGGCCTTTCCAGCACCCCTATGAGACTCAGGGGCCCCCTGTGGCCTTGAGCATGTGATCTGGCTTCCTTTCTTCAGCCACTTGCAGCTATGGTCTGCCGGCCTGATAATCCAGCTAGTGGCTTCTCCTAGATTTTCCTGGTCATTATCAGGACGCTGTGCATTCTGCACTATTTTCAAATCATAATTAAAAAATTATTCGCCTTCGGTCATTCCAGATTCTGTGAGTCATGAGTCATAAGTCATGCCAAGCTGCGTGCCCTTAAACCACAAATGGCCGATGAGCCGGCAGCTTCCTCTTTGCTTGGCATTGTGTGGTCTGACTCAATTTAGCTTCTGCACCATTTACCGTAAAAACCCCTGTGCAGCTTAACTGCAGCAGCAAGGGGGCGCTCTAGCCTCTGAAACGACCCATTTTCCTCTCTCCTCCCTTTCCAGGTCCTGACTTTACTGATGCCCATCCAGCGCCCCTTACTGTTGCCGTGAGCTCGGAGGAGGAAAAACCATCCTGGAGGCGGAGGCCCTTCTTTGAGATACCAGCCGGCGGAGGAAACAGCAGAGTGAAGAAGGGAGGTGCTGGGCGAGAGGCTGGACTTCCTGTCGAAGGAAGGGGGCTAGGTTTTGGTCAGGGGTGGCAACCTCCACAATGCAGACTCTGCACCTAAATACACACACACACACACAGCGGAAGAGAAAGAGAGAGCGTGTGTTGCACACGTTGGATGGGACCCAGGACTTGCCTCCATCTCTCCTCCCACGATTTGTGTTCTCAAACTTCCCTTCCACCCGCAACAGCTGCTGTTCTTTTTGGCTTTTCTATTGCCTCCTCTTTTTCAGTCTGTACATGTGACCTGCTTGTCTCTGTTGACGCCTGCAGTCAGTTCAGCTCCTCTCTCTGTGTGTGTTTTGAATCGGGACGGGCTCTGGGCTTCCAAACCTCCCCCCTTGACCCCGTTAGCAAAAAATGGAGAACCTGCTCTGAGTCAAAGCATGCTGGAGTGAGAAAGGACAAATGAATCCTGTGGCAGAGGGACGGGTTATATGTACACTTCGGGCTGCAGGTGGGGGACACTTTTTAAAGCTTTAAAAAACAAAACACAAAAAACCACCTACCACATCAGGAAAGTGGGTAGGTCAATATTTTTCTTCCTGTTGTGTTACGTTTGCACAAGAGAATGCCGAAGGACCACTCAGAAACAGAATCCTCCCCTGCCATCTGATATGGTACAGTCCAGCCTGCCCTCTGCCACTGCATTCTTGCCAGTCCTTGCCTGACTGCAGCTGGCGATGGTTTGTTTTTTCCTCATGGCTGCTATAAGATGCAGACTTCTCTGGGTCTTTTTAATGAGGAGGCCAAGGTGCAAGTGGTTTCATCTTTACTCCCCCCCTTGTTCTGAGCTGCGTAGGTTTTTGAAAGCATCCTTGGAGAGAGCAAGGCAGCCTTCTCTGGAGAGAAGGTGCGTTCAGTGAGGCTCTATTGGAGTCCCAGCTTCTAACCAAGGCAATGTACTCTAAAGTTCATAGCCTCCCAGTTAACCCAGCCGCCCTCATAGTTCTATGCATGGTTCCGCCTTTTTCATGGATCCTGCAGTAGCACCCTTTATCTAATTCTGCTGCCACTAGCGCATCCCCTGTATTGCATAATGCTCAGAAGAAACAAGATGTCCCCTCGCCTCCTGAGAAGGGTGACCCACAAATTTATTTTCCAGAGTTGGTACGTTATGTCCAAAATTCTTTGTGGCATCTCTTTATCGTCACAACAACTCCCAATGCAGTTGTGAAAAACTCATTCTCAGGCGTCTTCTGTTCAAACCATGGTCAAGTTTCCTGGGGGGAAATGCCAAGATTTCTAGCTTTGAGTTGAAAAGAGAAGTCTGAAATAAGCCACATAGCTGAAGTGTGTCAGCATAGTCTCTTCTGAGAACTTTGAGCTAAATCTTTTCTTTGGTAAAAAGATGAAGGATTCCTTATGATGCTGTTTTTAATTTTTGCCCATCTCTGCAACCTCCCAACATTTTGGTGTGTGTTTTTTTAAGCTTAAATCTCCGTAGGTTTTTGAAGCAAGTAAGTGTGAGCCAACATAACACAGGTTTTTGGTACAGGTGTTGGCAGTGCTTCCTTTGCATGCTACCTGTCTGCCTTTTCAGTGGAAGGTGGGGTGGTGTTGAGGCGGGGAGAGGCCCCTGCGCCCCCATACTTAGGGAGACAAGGGAGGGTGCTGCATCTTCTGTAGGGGGAGAGGAGCAGGGGCTGAGCTATTTGTACCCTGGATTGGTTTGGTTTGGCATCCATTAAAACATTTCACGTTTCTGGTTATTTTACGTGTGGACTTGTGTGTATGTATGTGCATGTAATATTAATGTACAGTGGACGCTTGGGTTGCGAACGTGATCCATGCTGGATGCACGTTCACAACCCGCAGCATCCGCAACCCACAGTGCTGCGCATGCACGGGTTGCGATTCGGCGCTTCTGCACATGCACAAGCGCCGAAACCCGGAAGTAACCTGTTCCAGTAATTCCGGGTTCGGTGTGCAACCCGAAGCATCTGTAACCCGAGGTATGACTGTACTGTACTTCAAAAGTGCAAACAAACAGAAAACATGAATAGAAAACATAAAATAGAGAGCAGATCATGCAGAAAAATAAAAGAAGTATGACACATCATGAAAGCCAAATTCTGTGGTTTGGTGGGAGAAGAGAGTTTAAAATGTTCCAGGTCTTCTTTACCCCTAGAAACGCCTAATATGTGAGTTACTTTCTCAGCAATGTCTAGAGTCCCCATATCTTTGCACCACAATGTGTAGGCTAACTGCTGCCGTGCCTTCCACTTCTGGGCCAAGGAAGTTTTCAGTGCCGCCAGCATACACCGAAGAAGCTCATTAGATCAAAGAGTTGTTGCTTGATTGTTGCACAAGTTCAGAAGGGAAAGTTGCAGAGCGGCTCAAATGGGGCATTTAAAATGTTTGGATACTTCTTGTGTGACCTTAATAATTAAAAGAAAAAGTTAACGCAAAGTTTCTTAGCCCAAATGCAGGCAGACGTCGTGATTTGTGGGAATAAAATGTGTCCATCTGCACACATCCTCAGCCCAGGGGATTTGTTTTCAGTACCAGAATTGAGGCCCTTCCAGACTGGTGTGATTTCCCCCCTGCTGTATTCAACAACATGTCATTGACGGAACAATGGTGCATTTGTGGTGGATCGGTTGATTGCATTTATATCCCCCCCCCTTCTCCCAAGGCCTCAAGATGGTGTACGTGGTTCTACCCCTCATTTAATCTCCACAACAACCCTGTGAGGTAGTTTAGGCTGAGAGGCAGTGACTGGCTCAAGACCACCCAGTGGGCTTTGTGGCTGAGTGGTGATTTGAACCCCCAACCTACTGTGTCCTAGTCCAGCACTCTTAACCATCACACCACACCAGCTCTTTGATCTTTCAACCAGATAAGTGGGGGATGGAACCTGCAACCTATTGCATGCAAGGCAGGGGCTCTACGACTGAGCTATTGGATTGCCCTACTAACCTTCCCTTCCATTAAGTTTTAAATATGCAAGTTGCTGGTGCGCACACACACATCACATGAAGCTGCAAATTCTTCTTCCTCTGTTCCTGTCTCAGCTTGCTCTCCTCTCCCCCCTGCTTGTACAGCCTGTTCCAGAAGCACATGCCCATCACTGCCACCCCCGCCAGCTCCCCCCTCGCTCCTTCTGTCTCTTCCTTTTTTTCCTTCATACAACCTGTTTTCCCTCACATCCACTTTGCTGGAGGAGAGAGATGAAGGGGACTGTAGGATATATGTTTACTACAAAATGCTCCCCCCCCCCTTCTTCAGGGTATCTGGCTACAGGGCAGGACAGGGCAGGGCATCTGATGTGGCAGAGTGCCTAGAACAGAGCTAGGGAGCCTGTGTCGTTGGACTACAATTCCCATCATCCCTGTCCATTGGCCATTATGTTGACTGGGGCTCATGGGAGCCAAAGTCAAATGTCCCTATCCCTGCTGCAAGACTAATGGATGCAGCTGGACTACAGTTCCCATGATCCATGACAATGAGATATAGTGGCCAGGGATAATAGGAGTTGGAATCAAACAACAACCAAGCAGGCCACAGGTTCCCCATCGGTGCTGTACCACACCCAGGTGAAGTTGGACTACAACTTCCATGATCCACGGCAATTGGTGATGCTGCCTGGGGCTGATAGCAGCTGGAATCCAGTGTTGGGAGCAAGCAACGAATCGCATCGAGTGAAGTCAACTATTTTAAAAACAGGCTCTGCACTGGAGTGCCAGGCCTAGTGAGCACAGCAACTCTTTTTTGGTAACTCTTGCCCGCTATGAAGCAGTTGTGGAGTCTGATTGCCCCCGCCTCTCCAGGGCTTTCCCCAAGAAATCTGAGACTTTGCCTGCATGTCTGTCTCTGCTCCTCCCACTTCATGCCTCTCTGGCTTTTGGGAGACATGGGGGCGGGGGAAGCAGAAGCGGGTGGGTTGCAGTGGGTGGGGGACATCTGTGACTCCTCTTGGCCTCCCTCGTCCCCTGCTTCCGCTTCTGCCTCTGATTCTGGTTTCCTCTCTCCCACAGACTTTCCCAGTTCACTAAGCCCTGTTACCCCTTCAGCTTCCACCACCTCCTCTTCCCCTTCTTCTCTCTTTGGCTGCTCATCGTCATCCCTCCACCAATCCCCAGGCTCTGAGTCTTCTTTCCACCATTCCAACCAGTCCATGGCACCCAACAACGCCTAGTGGGCCACCCTTGCTTTAGTGGGCACTGTGGCCAAGCCTGCTTTGCAGAGTGTCTTTGTGTCCCTGTGAACTGCATGGGAATTTCCACACTGAGCTGCATTGCTGGCCCTGTATGGCAGACGTGTGCTCTGCAGAAAATAGATACAGCTTTTAACGTACCGTGTAGACAGGGCTTTTGATTCATGTTAGGTGCCAACTTATATTCCCCAAGGGCTCTTTTGTCTTCCTTTAATGTTGGATTTAGGGACGTGGGTGGCGCTGTGGGTTAAACCACAGAGCTAGGACTTGCCGATCAGAAGGTCGGCGGTTCGAATCCCCGCAATAGAGTGAGCTCCCATTGTTCAGCCCCTGCTCCTGCCCACCTAGCAGTTCGAAAGCACGTCAAAGTGCAAGTAGATAAATAGGTATCACTCCGGCGGGAAGGTAAACGGCGTTTCCGTGTGCTGCTCTGGTTCGCCAGAAGTGGCTTAGTCATGGTGGCCACATGACCTGGAAGCTGTACGCCGGCTCCCTCGGCCAATAAAGCGAGATGAGCACCGCAACCCCAGAGTCGGTCATGACTGGACCTAATGGCCAGGGGTCCCTTTACCTTTACCTTTAATGTTGGATTTATTTATTTGTTAGTTTAATAAATTTCTATCCCAACTCCAAAGAGCTCGAGGTAATGTACATAGTTTTCCTCTCCATTCTATCCTAACCCCGTCACAGGGATTCGAACCACTGACCTTCTGATCAGCAAGCCCAAGAGGCTCAGTGGTTTAGACCACAGCGCCACCGGCATCCCAATCCTTACAACAACCTTGCGAGGTGGGTTAGGCCAAGAGTGAGTGACCCGAGATCACCACCATAAAGCCATCCGTTGCAGGAAGAATTCTTGCCCTGTCAGAATTAACCTGGCAAGGGCACCAGTGTGTGTGTGTGTGTGTCTTCCCTTCACTGTTTTATTCTCTTCCCCACCCTGCTGCCGCACAGCAGCCTTTGCCAAATAGGGGAAAGGGGGGAGAGGGAAAAGGGTGATGATCTAGCACCGGAGAAATATCCGAGAACCTGCCCCCCTCCATACTGTCCTCTGCTGACACTGCTTCCACTGTGAATATATTTGCATCTTATTAGCGCGCGCACACACACACACACACACACACACACAGAACAGCTCTCACTGTGGGGGATTTTCTCTTCCCCCGCTGCGATATCTGTTAATTGCCGCTTGGCAGAGAGCGTGTGGTGGGATCTTTGCAAAGAGCAAAAACGGGCTTGGGTCAAGGGGCTGCCGCTTTCTACTTAAGGGAAATAGGATTGATCTGCTCAGGCCGCTTGCCTCTTTCTCCCCCCCCTCCAAGAAGCGATTTCGTGGGAAAGAGCAAAGGAAGAGCGGGACCATCTGTTGCATTTGTGCTCTAAGTTGGGGGAGACAGCGGGGGGGGGCAGGCTCCCCCCCCCCGCCCTCCTCCCCATTTTGTGCTTTAATGGAGACAGGAGACTAACGCCACATTCACACCTTGCCCAGCATGAGTTGCTGGAAGAAGAACAAATCACCCTTGCCCCCTTGAGGGCTTGCAGCTCCTCCTCCTGATACACCACCCATCTATTTTCCCTGCTCCTCTCTCTCCCCTGCCCCCAATCTGCGTGTAATTGAGCCACGGAGGTGCTGGTTCCTCTCCCCTGCCTTACAGGGTTGGCAGTTGCAGCGGGCCCAATCCAGCCCGCTGGGGCGTATTCTTTGCCCTCCTCCCTCCCTCCCTTTGGCCAACTATGGCCCTATTAACGCCATACGTTTAAAGCACTATGATGCCACTTTAAACAGCCATGGCTTCCCTCAAAGGATTCTGGGAGCTGTAGTTTGTTGTGAGTTCTGAGAATTGTTAGGAGACCACCCCTCCCCATTCCCCTCCCATAGTCCCCCTCCGCTGTGAAGAGGGCTTGATAGTTAAAGCACTGTGGCAATTGTAGGTCTGAGAGGTGACTAGGGGCCTCTTAGCAACTCTCAGCACCCACAACAAACTACAATTCCCAGGATTCTTAGCTATGATATTGCTTTAAATTTATAAATTTATGATCATATGGGGACTTCCGGCAAGGAAAAATGGCGGGCGCCACGGCAGCGAGCAGCTCCTGAAGCCAGCCAGAGCCAACTGCGCTACCAGGCTGGCTCTGGGCTGCTGAGGCTGCCGCTGCCACATTTCCCGGGGACAGATTTGCAAATCTGGGGACATTCCGGGGACATAATTTGTCCGGGGACAGATTTGCAAATCCGGGAAATGTCCCTGGGAACCGGGGACATCTGGTAACCCTAACATAAAGTAGATTAGGCTGAAGAGTGAGTGACTGGCCCAAGATCACCCAGTGAGCCTCATAGCTGAGTGGGGATTTGAACCCCAGCTTCCTAGGGCTTTAGTCTGACACTCTAACCACTATACGACACTGCCTCTTCTCATAAGGGCTTTTTCCAAGCATGTTAAAGAGGAAAGAACCACACAGGAGATTGTGTGCTTTATCCCTCTGGCTGCTTATCAGTTGCAAAGGCATTGCCTCCCTATCCTCCCCTAAGCTGGAGGAAGCAAATATATATTG